CAAAAACAAAAAAACCCCCACAAAAACAAACAAAAAACACACACCACACAACACATAGAACAGTGATTTTCCAACTTTTTCATCTCATGGCACACAACCTAATTACTAACATTTTGCAGCACACCAAAAAAATACCTTTTTTTTGCCAACAAAACAAATAGGTGTAATTCTGATTCATTCACATTGGATGGTTGTTGTATTGGCTGTTGTCATTTTTTTTTTTTTAATTTGATAATCTAAGACACATGTGTCAAACACAAGGCCCGTGGGCCAAATCCGTCCCGCCAGGCCTTGCAATGTGGCCCGCACCGCGCTGTCATCACTGCACTCCGCTGCGTTTCCATCACAATGACAATTTATGACTGTTCAGTAAACCATTCGGCCCGCGATTTAGGCTGGATTTTAGATTTTGGCCCCTTCTCTGATTGAGTTCGACACCCCTAATAGACTTACAGACTAGGATTCTAACAGACAGCATTGGTTTGCCCAGAAGCACAGTGTTGGCACGAAGGAGAACCTTACGGAGCTCTTCTAGTTTGCAATGATGCCCACCAAGCTCCTTAGAAAGGAGAGTTGGTCTGTGCTGGTACATGTTTAACAACTGGCTCTTAGCACAATTGGGGGAATCCTGCTTTTGTAGCACTTGCCAATTTGTTTGATATAAATACAGCCACCACGCTTATGTTAAGGCTCCAACATGACATCAAACAGCCCACGAAATTCCTGCAGATTTAACAAGTGAACCTCAAAAGCCAGGAAGAGCCAGCCTCCGCACACGGATCCTGTCGGAGGAGTGAGGTAATCCCAGGATGCAGTATGGGCATTCTTGCTTTCTGCCTATGTAACCTTGGCCAAGTTACTTGAGTCTTTGATCCTGGCTCATAGATGGTATCCATGAGGCTTGTTTCTTTCCCCCTGGTTGCCTGCTTAGTGAAGTACCTTTATGCCATCGCTCCTTGCTGTGTGCCTGGGTGGAGGTGAGGACAGGAGACAGACGGTGTTATTTAAAGAGCCATGCACACAGCTGTGTTATCTTTTTTTCTGGGAGCATTTCCAAGAAAAGACTGGGCTTTTTAAAAAATGGAGCAAGATAGGGGGAAGTTGACAGGTGGAAAGGGAAGAACTGCCCACATGAAAGGAACTCAGTGTGGGGAAACACACAATGGGAATTTGAAAAGCAGATAGTAAGAGTTTCCCCAAAACATTAGCTTCAATTATAGGGAGGGAAGAGGCGAGGGTTGAAACAGGGACATGCTGACCTTGTCCTGCAGGTAGACAAATAGCCATGTTTCTTGGTTTGGGGAATCTCTAGGGGAACAACCCAGTGGGGTCCAACACCCTACAAATTAGGTGAGCATGCAATGTCAGAACATAGCTGTGGCCACATCTAAGTTCAGTTTCCTCATCGGCGAAATGGGGATAATAGCCCAGCAGGGGAAGGATGCCATACTGGGGGATAGCTAATGGTCAAGTGTGAAGAGGGATAGAGCAGGCTCCCATGTGCTGGCCCCTCAGTGCAGCCCTGACACATTCTGAGCCATGGCCCTGTCTTCTACTTCCCAAACCTCAGCTCCTCTTGTCATCCTGAAGGCTAGGCCCTCCTGCTGTCCCTGATCCCTCCCACTGCATCATAGCCTCTGGGTCTTCCACATTATCTGTCTCTACCCTCCCTACTCTAAAATGATGATTTTAGAGTTCCATCCTTTCTCAGATAACCTGTCTCTGTGCTTCTCACAGGATGGAACAGCCATACTCATATTTTTTTGCTTTGTTTCCCAATTGGCAACAATTCAACTGACAGTGACCCTTGGATATTGCAATGTCACCATCAAATTGGGCTTTCCCCGATGGCCAGCCTTCTTCCGTAAGGGATATGCAGCTGCAGGGTGTGGCCCCTTCTGCTCTGTTCTGTTGGCTATAGGTGTGGCCATTTCATTCCTGGAAACCTTAGATCCTAGGTTCGGTGATCAGAGCTGGAAGGTCCCTCTCCCAAGCCTTTCTCAGGGGAGTGAACCCCCAGGAGGCTCCAGTGTAGTGACTCCTAGCTGGCTAGACTGGACTCAGCCAGCTCAGTGGGCCAGCTGCAAGCCCCACCTCCTGGCCTGCACCAGGCAAAGCGAGCCAGCCGTGAAGGTCACTGGCCAGAACTTGTCACAGCCAAACGTGAAGTGTTTAACAATTCCCAGCCTGATCTTCAGAATGCAGAAAGGGATCAAGCTGTAGCTGGAAGCAAATCATAAATGTTCCCAGGCCCATCCAAGAATTTCACTGGGGCCACGAGGCCACTGGGCTGCTTCCACAGCAGGTTCCCATGAACTTGGGTCTCTGCCAGGATAACACATTGACTTCTGGGTTGACCTCAGGCAAGACAGAAAGCTTTCAAGTGAGCCACTGCAGGGAGGGAAAACCCCACACTTCCTCCCTCTGTAGTGGAATACACTGCAGGCCTTGGAAGATTAATCACTTAACAGAGGGAAAGTGATCTCAGTTAATTCTGTTGGCATCACCTCTTTCTTTGTGGCTTGAATGTTACTCCCCTGAAGAAAGTAGAATATAATTCAAATTTGGTTTTTAGTTCCATAACCAAGGGCTTCTATCAGATAGCCATGGGTACTGTACTTCTTATCCACTCTCGGCAAAGATTCAAACCCTCTGCACCCAGTGTGCCCAGACTTTCTTTCCTCTCCCCTCACGCAGCCCCTGCAGTGGTGACTTTCAAGGCCACTGGAGTCAGATTATGAGTTTGAATCCTGGTTCAACTTCTTGACAGATGTATAATTTTTGAAAATCATCTTGTTTCTTCATCTAAAAAAATAGGATTAGAGCACTGGATTAGTTTGCCAGGGCTGCTGTTACAAAATACCACAGGCTAGGTGGCTACACCAGATATTTATTTTCTCACTGTTTTAAAGGCTGGAAGTCTAAGATCAAGGTATTGGCAGGATTAGTTTTTCCTGAGGCCTCTCTCCTTGGCTCGTAGATGGCTGTCTTCCCATTCAGCTTTGGTAGAATTTCCCTCTGATTACTAAGGGTCTGTAGTACCCCTGAGACATATCATTATTCACATTAAGAAATGAGTTCATAAAGAGAGGGGGCATTTAAAAGGGGCTCTCTGAGGATGCTCCAGTGTTGGTAATGAGCCTAGTATTGACTGTCAAGATTATCGCACATCCTTGCCCTCCAGAAACCTACAGCTCAAGTCATATGACTCCTAAGGGGACTTATTTTCCTCTCTGCCCCAACCCAACAGACAACATGAACAGAGGAGGCTCAAAGGTTAGTGTAACCACTGTGACATGGTTGCAGAGCATGCATGCCCTCACCAGATGCTGTGGAAATGCCCTGTGTGTACAAAGGGCAAAGCAGGACACATAAGTACCCTGTTCAGAACTTTCCAGAAAACTGAGGCGTTTCCAAGATTGGCTTCTATGGAGAACTTAACCATCCAGGATTTTTGTATGGTTATAGTAACATACTGGTTTTTGTTTTCACCCTATCCTGTTCTGCAATCCACAAACCAGAGCATCTCCTTGAAATGATGGAAGGGGATGGCTGTGTGAGATGGGTCCGTGCAGGGAGGGTGTAAAATGACAGAGGACTTTGATTCTCCGCTGAGGTTTGGAGGTGAATGGAGACATGGGCAGGGACCTGGGAAAGATGAACAGAAGACTGGTGCTCTGAGGTAGTTTCTTGATGAATGGGCTCCTAGATCTGACCTTTGACCTTACGAGAGAAAATAACTAGGGGCCATTGATTTCAGCTTGGAAGAATGTTGTGAGGAATTGTGCTCTAGTGCGAGGGTGGGGAATGTGGTAAGGAGATGTTGTCTGTGGAACACTATTCAGGACCTCAGTTGAGTTTGGCTGCATTTAGTTTTGAAATGTTGGGAGAAAGGAAAAGCAGGAGAGATGCTAGATGGCTGAGTGAAGATCACACATTTGGGAGTCAGGAGGTGATAGGGTATCTTGCTTGAGAGGAGATTGTATGATTATATCTGACCAATGATTGCTTGCTCCTGGGTGGGTCTGGAGAAACTCTATTAGCTATTTATTGTGTGAGTTAGTTACTCATATCAAATAAGCAGTATTATAAATAAAATTGCTCTTGATGGTTCCAATATCACTTGAGATCAGACACATTCATTTGCCTGTTGAGGAGAAATGCAAGGAATGACAAGCAGAGCCTTGGAAACCACGCCGGTGGGGGGAAAGGCATCCTCATACCATGAGTTATCCCACTGCTGGGTCAGGATGGGGCCTCTTAAGATCTCAGAGAACGTGCAGCAGTGGTTTGTTGGAGAAAGCAACAAGGATCGTGGGGAGGCCAAGAGAAGAATGAGTGAGAAAGGCAGCCAGCGAGACAGACTATCCCAGAGTTCTTGATCCGGGTGTCTGTAGGGAGCGGATGAGGGAGGGAGAAACTAAGTGGAGGAAGGGTCAGTGAAGGGCTCCTTGAGACCTGAGTGAGCTGATGAAAAGGCAAAAGAGGAACTCCAGTGCCATCCCGCAGGAGAAGGGTGTGGATCTAGGGGCAGAGAGTAAGCTGTCAGCCTTCACAACAGGTGCTCCCCCCTGAGAGCATGGGCTCCTGGTGACAAGGACACCATCCCCTGTCACACATCTGTGTGCAACAAGGATCCCCATGAACTCAGAATTCCTTAAAATAGAACACATGTGGTCCCATCACAGCAGATGCCATGAGGTACCACAATGGCCCCAGTTCTCAACCCCTTGGCAAAGCACGTCAGCCTCATCTTCCCTCTTGAGCAGCGACTCTCCCAGAGTTCTAGGCTGGGTTGTGGAAACTGAAAACTAAAATTTCAAAAGCTGTCAGCTTAGGGAGCAGCTGTGACCTCCAAGTTCAGTTCCTGATTTTGTGTTTCTTTCTCCCTCCTCCTTTAGATCTCGGTGTGTGTGGGCGTCTCCTCAGCTGGCAGCCCTGCTGTGCCCTGCAGTTGACATCCAAGGTTTTGACTGTGTGGGTTTGTGTCTTTCCGGCAGGTGTCTCCTCTGTGACTTCCCTGATGTCCCTGGCTTGGGTGCTAGCCTCCTATCACAAGCTGCTGCGGGACTCCAGGGACGACAAGAAGAGTATGAGCTACAGAGGGGCCCTCATCCACCTCTTCTGGCGCCTCTTCACCATCTCATCCAGAGTTATTTCTTTTGCCCTCTTTGCTTCCATCTTCCAGCTCTACTTCGGGATCTTCGTGGTCGTTCACTGGTGCGCCATGGCCTTCTGGATCATCCATGGCGGAACAGACTTCTGCATGTCCAAGTGGGAGGAGATCCTCTTCAACATGGTGGTAGGGATTGTGTACATTTTCTGCTGGTTTAACGTCAAGGAAGGGCGGACTCGATATCGAATGTTTGCATATTACACGATAGTGTTGACCGAGAATGCTGCCTTGACGTTCCTTTGGTATTTTTACAGAAACCCGGAGACCACTGACTCCTATGCGGTGCCAGCACTGTGTTGTGTCTTTATTAGCTTCGTGGCTGGGATCGCACTGATGCTCTTATATTACGGTGTGCTGCATCCCATGGGGCCACGAGCTAAGATCTTTGCCAGCTCCTGTTGTGCCGAGCTGCTCTGGGGCATCCCTCTGCCCCCCGATGTTGAGCCCATGGCGCCTCAGACCCCTGGGTACCGGGGGACCCAGGTCACGCCTACCAGAGCCGTGACGGAACAACAGGAGGATCTCACGGCTGACACTTGCTTGCCCGTTTTCCAAGTGAGACCCATGGGGCCCTCCACCCCGTCGGGGCGTCCTTACCACCCAGAAGGGCCCCTCATTAAGATTGACATGCCAAGGAAGAGATACCCAGCTTGGGATGCCCATTTTGTAGACAGGAGATTGAGAAGGACTATTAACATTCTGCAGTATGTCACCCCCACCGCGGTAGGCATTCGGTATCGAGATGGACCGCTCCTTTATGAGTTGCTACAGTATGAGTCTTCACTCTGAGAGCGTCTTGACCCAAGTTGAGAAGGGGACCTTAAGTTGGTTTGCGGTTAACACCGCTCGCAAGAAAATATGACCCTCCCTTCTCCCAATTCACAAAATCACAACCACCACCACCATCACCACCTCCACCACCACTGCTACAAAAAAGAAAATAATACGTTACAACCCCTTCAGATAAGCTTTCTTTCCAGTCGCTGTATGTATACAAAGATATTCTCTATGTTTTGTAAGTAAAAACAAAAAGAAGATCTTTCTTTTGTTTTTTTACACATAAGAAACAGTATTGAAAATCCCACACTATTGTTCATAGGGTGGAGAAGGAGGAGCTGTCTCCACTCCAAAAGAAAAAAAAAGTGTTTTATACCTTACACCAAGTGTAGATCATTTATGGGATTGGTGCTGATTGAAAGAACAAAACAAAACAAAACAAACACAAACAAACAAACCTTCAACTGCCTTATGCCCTTAGGTGCTGAGTTTCATTAAGTACTGTCACGTTTTTTCTCATGAAAAAACTCTCTGGTGGTTTTGGCACCAAGAGAGGGGAAATTAAACAATTGAAACAAATCTAGAAACAAAACGAAAACCAACCAATAAATAAAACACTGACTATTTATAATGAAGAAAACAAATTCACCAAAAGCAAAGGCATAGAAACCCCAATCTTTGTTCTGTTTCACTCTTTGCTTTTCCGTCCCTGTCCCCAACTTAATAGCGCCTTCTAGGAGTCAAATGGCCATTTGGAACTCAAATGGCTCGGAAAGCTCCTTGAAGGCTGACCTTGTGCCATTTAGCATTCACCTAGTTCGGATCACATTTGTTTCCTGGTGAAAAGCAAAACAGAATAAAACAAACAAACAACCCCCCCTCCCCTCGTAATTCAATGAAAACAGGAAATTCTAAAGCAAATTAAAGATTCCCATCTATTTAATCAATGAAAATCAGTAATAATAAAACTCAGCATAGTAGCAAAAAGAACAACATCAATTTAAAGGCACAATACTTAATCAGCGACTGGCAAAAACGATTTTGGTCTGTCCTTTTAAGGCCGTGAAAGGTATACATTTACCACACGTGATATTGTGTAAGGCCTCTTCTGTTTCCATTTGGTGGGAAGCCTTAAATTGATCTGGAAAGAATTCTTCATTTATCATTTGTGCTTTTTAAAAATATTAACACAGAGGAAAATTAGATGTCAAATTGAATAACTGACCCATTTCAAAGACTGTTTGGTGCTTCTGTCTTTCACCATTGTGGTTGGCTGAAACTCATTCAGCTCACTTGGTGCATCTGGGGTGAGTGGGAAATTGTGTGTGTGTGTGTGTGTGTGTGTGTGTGTGTGTGTCCATAGCACACGTATATTTGTGTGTATGTGTCTGCTGCAAGGTCTTGCCAGAAATGTGGGAAACTGCTCTAAAGGCAGACTCTGGGTATGCTAAGGTGGAGTGTAAGAGGGCTGGGGAGGGGGGAGCAGGACGGAGGGGGTGGTGCTGGAATACAAGCCCCTGTTTGGTGGCGAGACTCACACCAGCCGCATATTCTGGGTCTTAGAGGCTGTGTCATTTGGGTGCAGATTTGATTATTTTTCTCATTGTACCAAATTGAATTTTAAGAGATGTTGCAATATGTTCAACCATTTCTTAAATGTTATTTTTCAAAGTATTGGTCCTGTAAGGAATATTCTGTTGTAGGACATCGTTTCAATCCCATTGTATCTCTACTTGGGCACCAAAAAAAGAAAAAAAGAAAAAAAAAGGAAAAGAAAAAAATCACAAAAAACAAAAAAATCTCTACAAAAAAGATATATATATAAATAAATAAATATATATATATATATATACACACACACACACACACACTATTTTTTAGCAAATACTCTTAGTCTTTGTTGTGTGTAGCTGCGATTTTTTTTTTAATTTCCAGATATAACTGTTTAGGGTGCAAGACCTCACATTGAACTATTCTTAAGAGAAGTTCAAGCTCTGAGGAATTGTTTGTTTGTTTGTTTTTATGTTGATGGGTTTTTAAAAAAAGAAATTATTATTCAAAGAGTTTTCTCCTTATCTTCTTCACTGTTTATCTAAAGATTTAAAAAAAAAATAAGTTTTAAATTTTAGTTAGCTGTAAATCTGGATGTTCTTTTCTTTGTCCAGATCCCTTTGATTTCCTTTATTGGTACTAAACTTTGCAGTGCTGTCCTGTCTCCCTCCCTGACTCGGTTGCCCCTGGGGCACTCCCCCTGTGGGAAGGAGGGGCAGGAGGAGAGGTGCAGAGAGCCTGTGGGCCCAGGGCCCACCCACTAGGAAGCACGCTGCACAGAGCACACCAGGCCTTGTTGTAGATGTGGGTCTGTCTGTGCCCACCCAAGGCACACGCCCTGGGCCACCCAGCAGTTAATTGGGAGTTCCAATCTGGCTGGAGGTGCTTTTCCTTTGCATTCTGCTTTCCTAACTGAAGGCTTAGCTTGCCACTTACTCTGCTGAGGCTGGAGGATGGGAGGCCATGTGAGAGGAGCCATCCGGGCTCGCTGGGTCCCAGCTCTTGTCTGCCTCAATTCCGGGGCTCCTGTGCCGGGAGCCTTGGGGACGACCATCGCTAGAGCAATCCTTGGCGCTGTCCCCTGTGCATCCCTTTGGGACTTGTGCCATTTTGGCTTGTTGGTCTTTTCTTGGATTTATTTCCTTTCCTCTTTCTCTTTCATTTCAACACATTGCAGCTCTATTTTTCTACTGCACATCCAGCGTGCGTGCATGCGTGCGTGCGTGCGTGCGTGTGTGTTTATGTTTACATGCAAATGAGAAAATGGCTCACATTCGTTGACCTGGAGCACCAAAAGTTGGGGTAATAACTTCCAACTCAGGGAGGACTCTCTGGGGCTGTAGCCACTGGGAACAGATGAGAAGATGACAGGACCTTTCCCAAATCCTTTCTTTCAACCTTTGTTGGACCGGCCTCTACAAGACTCAGGCAGGAAGGCACACTTGTCCCATGAAATGTCATTCCCCACCCCCTTCGTCATGCCAGCTCCTTCCCTAATGATGCAAACAAAAATATGACTCTAGGAGCGGCATCTGCGTTGCAAAGAACCAGAAGGAGGCAGAAAAGTCAGGAAAGAAATAGAAAAGGCAGAAGGGAGAGAGGGAGGGAAACATGCAGAGAATGGCCAGGTAGTTTGCATCTGTCTTCTCAGTATTGTCGACCCCTACCAATCCCCATGTCTTTAGCCACCAGGAAACTCTCTCCATCAGTCTCAGCATCACCTCCCCGAGTGTGCTTCCCCTAGTGTGTGTGTGGGGGGGACCTGGCCCCTGGGCGGCAGTGCGAGAATCCACACTTTCCGTGCTCTGAGTTCACCTGGGAAGTGGGTCTTTCTACCAGAACACTTTGGTCTTGAGAAACCCAGCTCCTCCAGGCCACTCTGCAGCAGGTGGCTCTTTGTCCCTAGAGAAAAGCGACACTGGGAATCTGCCTTTAGTCTGCCACCTGCCTGAGCCCTGATAAACCCCTTATGGGTGATGAGGTGCTGCTCATAGAGCCCCATCTACTACCTAGGGGGACGCCTATGATATTCTTTTTTTTTTTTTATCTTTAGACCTACTTTTTGCCCAGGAACTTCTGCTGAAAATAAATGAGCTCTCGATATTTGGTTCTGGTAGCAGATAAGCAGATAAGACTGTACTGGGAGCTACAGAATAAACTAGGAAGCTATGCCTCTTACTGCCACCCCATCCCCCCGCCCCAGCAAAGATAACCCCAACCACACAGAAGATTTGAGTCTTATCAGTCTCAGAAATACAGTAGCACCGCTCACACCTGGCTGGTTTTGTAGCATCCTTTCTGCAAGCTCTGTTTCTCCCTTGCTCAGTAAATCAGTCTCTTCTTTGGACCTCGTGTCTCTTAAGACCATGGTGAGGGAAGCGAAGAGGGTTCAGATTCATCACATGAGCCCCCCACTGAGCTTACTTATCCCAAGAGTTTCTTGTATCTGAAATATACTCCTTTGCTGTCTCCAGAAGGTTCACCTTGCTCTCCACAGAAGCACCAGGGCTGCTGTGGGAACAGGCCCATCTCTCTTGATGGCACACACTGCCGAAATGCCCCTTTTCAGTCACGGAAGATAACAATTCCTTGTGACCCCAGGGGCTCCTCCACACCTGCCAGCTCCCCCAAGCTCAATGTCTCGGAGTACAAAGTCACCCAGTACCCTATGGCCCCATGGCCTAACCTGTCCCCTCAGTAGCCATGGCCCCTTTGAGTCTCAGGGTGGTTTCAAAGAGTGTAAACATCTGTCTGGATTGTGATCATGAAGGTGAGTCTTTTGGCCATATGGCATCTCATGTCACAGACATCAGACCCTGTCCCAACAGGGGCCTTATTCTCAGGGAGAAAAATGTCTGTGTTTTTTTAAAAGCACCAAAATGACATCATTTTCTCCCTTCTCCCTCTACTTTCACTCTCTCCCTCATGGTCATAGGGGCAGGAGAAGATATTTCTGATGCTGATCTTGTTGGAGAACCTCTAAGCAGGCATGACTTCACTCCTATGTATCCATGGAAACCCCCTGTGGCATTTAATTGCCTGATAGAGGAAGCACACTCCCCCTTTTTCTCCTCTGCTCCCTGCTCCTGGAGTGGGGGCTCTAAAACGAGCCCCAAGCCCTGGTGCTCCAGCCCTAGCAAATTGTTCCTCTTTCCATTACCCAGAAACAGATGTAAGAGGAGGACAGCAGGGGCAGGCCCAGAGCCTTTGGGCTGGAGGAAGAGTATCAGGCCCTAAAAGAGGACAGGGAGGGGCCGTTCATGCCCTTCTGCTCCTGGCTCTCTCTAATGGGATAGACACACACCGTGGCATTTCCTTTGCCGAAGAGAGTGGCTCCTTACTGAAAGTGAGCCCTCTCAGGCCTCTTCGGTGTGTGATGGTAGCAGCCCTGGGCCGTAGGTAGCTGTCACGAGGGGAGCATACCTTATAGACACTCGTTTGATTTTCTTATCAAGAAGCTAACATTCGTTATTTATTTGCCAAACTGAAAAAAAAAATATATATATATATACCTATTAAAATAACACTACCAGATTTGGTTGGGGGAGAGGATTTAAATATGGAGATTGTGAAGAGTTCACTGCCATTCATTTCACCTGGATTCAAGTGAGATTCCCAGGGTAGCCTAGAAAGCTGCCGGGAAGATCTTGATGAGTAGGAGGGAGACCAGGAAAAGTTCCTGCGGGAGAGGCTTGATCAGCCTTCCTTTCGTTCTCAAACATTTCCTGACGGCCACAGTCTCTCAGGCAGCCCTCTGCGAGAAGCACACTCCGCTACCCTATAGGCAGTGAATTTAAACCAGCATCAGCTCCTCTTCTTTAGGTCCAGGTGTGAATGAAAGGAAGAAAAGGGGAAATCTTTCAGGGTTAGTCATCTGAGTCATTATCTCCTCATCTGTAACGGACCCCTCAGAGCAGCAGCACTCGCTCCCATGCACAGCACAACGTGGCAATGGCCGTGGTTAGCCTATCACAGGCTACAAGAGCCCTAAGCTTGTAAGAGGACTGTCCCCAGAGCATCCTAAATCAATGTGTGCCTGTCCCACTTTCAAAACTTGTGAAAAGGCAACGCCACCCTCTCGGAGATTATTTTTTTTCTGAAGCTCCTTGCTGGGGAAAAAAAATGATGCGTACTCTAAATTCCTGCACGGGCAACATAAGCCTCATTCTCACCCATCCTTAGCTATCTGAAAGGTTTTCTTTCTTGCTTAAAACACTGCATCTGTGCTATTGGCCAAATATCAAAAGACAAGGGCACTGCCTTGATCTGCCTGCAGCTTTATTCCCCTGCCTGCCCGGTCTGTCTGTCTTACGTGACTCTCCCGGGCACCATCTGCTTCTTCCCTCCTCCTGGGAAGGAGCTGTGCCTTCTTGCTCCCTGTACCTTTCCTTGCACTGGCTGGCAGGAAGTGGCTGAGATGTGCTGGAGCCAAAGGCTGGGAATGCTATTAATGGCAGCTCCTGAGGGCAGCAGACGGACAACCATAGGTGTTCCCTCTACACACGGCCAACACCTTGTGTCAAGGGCTAAGAATAGACCAAATCGGAAATGAGCAGGCAGGACCTCAGGGACGCCTGCCCTGGCCTGCCCCATCCCATGCAGGACAATATGCAAGCCTCCATAGGAGATGCCTGCCCTTGCCAATCCCTAATTCGAATCATGAGGAGACCCCACACCAGAAACTGAAGTCAATCAGCTTATCCTGGCTCATCCCGGAAGGACTACTCCTAAAATGTACCCTCAAACCAAGGAGGACAAAGGAATCATTTGCCTTGGGTAGAGTGCTAATGGCTAACCCAGAAAACATCCCTCTAGAAGCAGCCTTCCACCGTGTGTCATGGGGGATACAGACAACTGGTCGCCTAGGAGATGACCTCCCTTGGTGTGTTTTTCTATCCTCAACGTAGCTCTGAGGTACTCAGGCTAGAGTGGGGCTAGAAGGTTTGTTTTAGCTGTAAACTTCCCAGAGGCTCTTCTTCAGGTCCAGAAAGATCAGGAAATAGCACAGGCTGATTCAGAGTCCCCCACTGTGATCATGGATTCTTCACCTCTTGGTGCCTTGGTTTCTCCATCTGTAAAGTGGAGAGGAAGAAGGCCAACCTCTTCTTTCTCTCCTGCTCAGGGATGCTGTGAGGAATCAGTCATTATTGCTTGCAGTGAAGGCATCATGTAAGGAAGGGTGGTGGTCTCGTTACTTGGGAAGTAGGACCATAGAAGGATAGGGTGTTCTCCAGATGCCACACCTGGAAGCCCAGAGGGTGAGCAGTGGAGTTGGACAGGGAGAACGCTCACACACCCGTGGTTCTTAAATATTTCACATCACTGTGAACCCAGTCAGTGGTACTCGCTCAGGCAACCGAAGGTCACCTAGCCCACGCCGGTCACTTGTAACTCTAAAACCAAATGTCCCGATGTTGATTTTTTCCTAAAGTATCACAGAATATATGGAAGGACCCATTTGAAAACTGGTATTTGCTGAGCTTTGGGCAGACAAGAGAATGGGTGAACAGGGAGTATTTGGAGATGGTTTTTAAGGTGGTTGAAAGCCCTTCAGGAAATATCTCTTACTTTTGTTCTTCCTCACAATGTTTTTTCAACCTTGAGGCTCACCTCACTCGAATGGACTCTCCTTCTCTTTGCCTCTCTGCAGAGTACAGAAACAAAACTGTTGTGTGTGTTTTTTTTAAATAAAACAAAAAAGTCTCATCAGCCAAACTGTGGGTCCCAATGGTGGGTCTTAATCATTCCCTGGTGTGCTTTGAGTGGAGCCTGCAGGCAAAGGTTCAGAGACAAACAGGGGCTGGGAACATCACCAAGGGGTTTTCTTTCAATTGGGGTATTTTTTCCTCATCATTTGGATTGGGAACATTTAGTTGAGTTTCTTTTTCCTTTTTTTTTTTTTTTTTTTAATTTTTCCTGTGGTTTGACTATTTTCAAATTAATTACCAAGATACCCTTTGAGGAGGAAAACAGACCCATCCTAAGAAGCTTTGTGTTCTTCTTAGGCCCTACACCAGAGTGAGGGCAGGTGGGAGCCATGAAGGGCGCTGGTGCTCCGGAAGGGCCAGCTGCAGCACTGGTTTTCCATTGGCTTTGAGAAACCTTCTTGGAAGGGAAAATTCTAAAAGCTTCAAATCTGGCTCTGAGCTCTGACCCTTTCCTTGGGGTTCAGGTGTATTCCAATGTAAAAATCACACACACACACACACACACACACACACACACACTCACGTCTATCCTAAGACTGTCCCAAAGGAACAGGCAACTCACCCAGGTAGGTCCTAGTTGTTGCTACAAATCCTTGAGCTCCTTGACTATGAGGCCCTGACAAGAGCTCCTTTCCCACCTGCTCTGACTCTGTTTGCCAAGATTAATTACTGTTTTGACAGCACAAGGGACCAGATATAGTATGGAACTCAATAAGACTTCTGTTTGATCTTGTATCTCTGATTGTCCTGTGGATAGGCCAGATCCTGCTTGGCTTATTTATTTTCACTAGGTGTTTCTGATGGTAACCAGAAGGAAGAAATAAATGAGACCTCAGACTTGGCTCTCCGTTCTCACCGGCACCTCTTTTTTGACTGGGATGGATGGTGAATGAACTGTACAGCATTTATGACCAAGAAGATGGACATGTGAAGCCACCAAGGACAAAAGGACTCAGTAGATGGGTAGGAAGAATGATAAAGAAGAGGAGGGCTTCCAGGAGTATGTGGGGGCAAGCATATGTGAAACATCTAATCATTGCTTCCTACACTCTCTGGGGCAGAAATAGCAAAGCATATTCTTTGCAAACAGAGGAAATGGATTTTACTGAGTGACCAATTTAAGCATTATTGTTTTACTAAAGGTCATGAGGAAGCATCTAATGCAAGGAAAGGCACGCTCTCATGAAGTGGTCATGTTTTTGGAAGTGATGAATTCAGGCCTCTATCTTTCTGCAGATCGAAGTCAAGTCACACTCTTGGGACCAGTTTATTTTTCTGTATAGAAGGAAAGAATGAGTATTGCTTACTTACCTCACAGGGGTGTTGTGAGGATGAGGTGGTGACTGTCTGAAAAAGTACTTTGAGGGTAAAAGTATATGGTTATCAAGTTTGCTTCCTATTTAACATCCTTTTAAGCATTAGCTGAGCACCTGCTGTGTGCAAAGCACTAGGTGCTGTGGGGAAGGGGATGGTGATCTAATTCCTCTTCTCTTTTTTAATTAATGAATATTTTTAAATGACTACAAGAGGACAGAAAAACAGCTATATTAATGTGGGTCAAGAAATATGTTCTCTGCCCCAGAAAGATATTCTCTATCTTCCTTTCCATATATTGGGCAGAAAGGAAGGATTTTAACATCAGAGGGTGTTATTCTGAGAAGCAAATACATATTGTTTTCTCTTCTTCCTTTGAGAGAAAATGAAGGCAAATAGCAGTGAGCATGTCCTGTGACCAGCAGATATGGTTCTATGATTCCCATCATTCCTCCTGGGCTCCGCTTCAGTTTTGCCATAGCCTTCATCTTCTCTCTCCAGACCCAGAGAATGGTTTGCAAATGCTGTGCTAGGAGAACTGGGTACTTTTTGGTTGGTTTATGTCCTTGGAGAGTCTGGTTCACTGTTGTTTGCTGGAAAGTCTTGGCTTCCAAAGACTGGGGTCTTTACTAGAAAAACAAAAAAAATCAGAACATTTTTATTTATATATATATATATTTTGTGGTGGTGGTGGAGTTTTCAATTTCTTAGCTGCCTAACTTTAAAACAAAGCCTTTTTTTTAAACAAAAATTTCTCATTTGTTTTTCTATGTGCAAAGTTTTCTTGCCTTCCCAAACACACTCAAGGAATCAAGTCTGGATTCTAAAACAGAGCGCATCTCAAATTCTTTGTCAAGTGCTAGGCCCGAGATTCACGAGTTTCTACAAAGAGCCAAACCACCTGCTGAGCTAAGCAGGTGGGGATTCCAGCCCCACATGGAAGCTTCCTGGAGGTGCCCCAGAGCCTTGTAGCTTTTCGGATGCTCATTCAGTATTAGGAGAGCCCTCTCCCCGAATCCTTCGCAATCTCCGTGCCACAGAAGGAGCATCCATAGAGCTCGGTGGGGGCTTCCTCTGCGTTTTAGAACTGGAGGGAAACCACTTGTTATTTTGCAAATGTGATGCCAGCATTCGGGGAAAGGAGAGAATGACTTTCTTTTCCTTTCAGAGGGAAGAAGGGACAAAGAGAAAGAGAAGGTGATGTGGTGTGACTATGGCTCTGTTGCCGAGAAAAGATTTGGGACTCAGTGGTCCATTGTGGTCCCCTCCACCTTAGACACAGGACTTGGAGGACCCATGTGAGTTTCTTTAGGACCCTAAGGTAGTGAGTACAGAGGATCAATATCCTTTCCCTTGAACCCAGGACTCAAGGACGGGATGTCTTCAGATTTGGTGCTGCCTGGCCCAGACCATTCTGTGCTTCTCAGCCACTCCACTGCCCTTCCCTAGCCTGTGCTCATGATCGCTGCAACCTTGGCATTGATTCTAAAAGACCTGCTTCTATAGGCCAGTCATAGGCATACCGCTTCCGGGCGGGGGGGAGGGGGCTTGGCGGTGTGTGTTTATCAAATTCAGCCCCTTGCGCCTGTCCACTTGCCTGGACGCCGCTGTGGCTGCGTGCCTCCGCCAACACATCATCAGCACCCAGAAGCTGTCACGCCACAGGCCTCTGAGCAGTGGCCTCAGTCTCTCCACCTGTCCAGCCGCCCAGTGTCAAGGACAGTGACCCTGCCCTCTCTTCCTGTAGTAAATACGTATGCCTTTAAAAGGTGTGGCCCTGGCTCCTGCGGGAGACCTATACGGGGGCAGGAAAGAGAGGCACATCTGTTAACTTCAGCAGCTGGGGACGCTCACTGATAACTTATGAGGCCAAAATGGGCCTCCAAGTGAAAATACCAAGTTTTCACAGCCCTCCCAGGCTATCCAGGCCATTATATCACCAACACACAGAAAGTCCCTGCGCAGCGTGATATCCTACCACATGGGGCACCCCTACAGCCCTGCCCTGAGGCTAACCTACAGCACCTCCTCATTATGAGGGCTTCGTTCGTATTTATTTGAAATTATAGTGATTATGAATGAGAGTGAGAGAACAGTGAAAACCACGTAAGCTATGAGGTGAGGTGATATTTTGAAATTATCAGGAATTGTGTAGAGCTGGGGAGGCCAATCACAGTACATGATCATATAACTGCATTTTAAGCTTATTCATCACATCTGGATACATAAATGTGTCAATGTTGGGCATTTATATGTATATATACAGTGTGTAAATATGTATGTGTATAAATATACATATATACACGTATGTATATATATATATGCATGTATCTTCTTCTTAAAGGGCTTAAAAAGTTGATGGAACAGAGAATTATGATGTTGAGGAATCTTGCCGGACTTGAAATAGCCCTAGCTTAGCTGGTCATGTCTTTCTCCAAGGCCTGGCCATGTGGACTCCCTGGAGCTGGCATATGTCACTCCTCCACCTGGGACAGGAAGCCAATGGAGGGTTGTGCTGGGATTGTGTGAGTCTCTAGTTGCTCCCAGTTTCCCCAGCAGGCTCACAGAGCAGCCCGGAGTCTCTGGGCAGCAGCTCTCCACTTTCTGGAATTCTAATCCCACGTTGCCACTGGAGCAGAGAGCGGAGGATGCGTACAAAGGGGACATGGGAAGCTACTGCGAGGTCAGCTTTGTGGCAGATGTCCAGGATCTGTGGATGGCAAAACCCAAGCCTAAGGGGTCCCGCCCTGCATTATCCTACCTGCTGGTGCTGGGAACCTGGCCCTGAGAAAGGGGGTGAGACCCCCTTCTGGGGACTCTCACAGATGGGAGACACTTCAGAGCAATCGCTTTGTAGGACAGGCCAATTTTAGTGCTGTGCCACGGACCTCCCTGTGGCGGTGATGGCCATGACAAGTGCGACAGACAGGGAAGAAGCAGGTGTCCACTCGGGTTCCTTCCTGCCTGGTGACGGCATTCGGATGGCCCAAAGAGCCAGGGAGTCTGGAGGGACAAGGCACGAATGGAACCCAGTGCTCTGAGCCACAAACCTTCGTTCCTGACCTGCATCCCAGGTGAGGCTCCTCCTTTGCCTGGGCAGGCAGTGGGAGCCATGTCCTAAGATGCTTGGGATCTATACGTGGGCTGGTAAGATAACCACTGTGTTAGGTGGGGGAACACAGAACCCCAAGAAACTTTTCCAAGCCCCGCTCCCCGGGACAGCCTTTGGGTCCCCTTCCCTAAGCTGTCCCACTTGCATGTCTGTGTCTGCAGTCCCCGATGGCGTGGCAGATGGCCAGCTGCTGCAGACGGTCAGGCCAGGAGCATGTGGGACACCTACCTTCTCCCCTCTGTTGATGTCCCTTCTCCCCAGTGCCAATCCCCAGTGTATACTAGTTCCATTAGCTTTTTCCTGGCATGGACTCTTCGGTGACAAGACATGTTTTTAAGAAACCCATTTTTCTATGGCTACCACAGAACATGTTTCCTGGGGATACAGGAGAGGAACTCGGAGATAGGACATGGGAAGATGAGAGTGTCACCTAGAAGGGCTATGGTACACCCCTCCCTTCCTATGTGGGTTTTTTTCTTTCACTTTAAAAAAGAAATCACAGATTTGTTACAGAAAAAAGTATACAGGTAGGAAAGGAAGGAAAGAAAGGAGGAACCGAGAGAGGGAGGAAGGGAGGAAGGGAGGAAGGGAGAGCGAGAGGAGAGGACAAAGAGAGGAGGGAAGAAAGGAATGAGGAGGAGGACCTTCTGTTGTCTCCCTGACACCTCTTGGCGTCTGGGGGTTGTTAAACTGTGGCTTGCTGTTCAAAGCAGCAGGCTGTGCTCCTGCAGCCGGGCAGAGCTTCTCCGCATTTCCTCACATGTGGGCCCGAGGGCAGGCCAGAGTCCTGCTCTCACCTCACTGACTTCCCCTGCAGAGATGTTTGGGGCCTGGCCTTCCCATGTGCTCACTGTCACTGGCTCTCCTAACCCATCTGTCTGGTGAGGGGTGCAGCCTGCAAGGCCGGAAGGCTGGAATCCAAGCTCTCTGCTCAACATGATGGTTATTTTTAAAGATATTTTCTTACCTTTGTTTATTTTTTTCTGGGATACTTTCCCTACCATTCTTCCCATTTTAACCCAATAAAACTGATGACACTGCTAAGTGACTCTTTCTAGAGCAAAACTATTTGAAACTCTCAGGTAATTCAGTCTTGAGTGCATAAAATTTGTAATTTCCCCTAAAGGGCTAACAAGATATTCTCGTTGCTTCTATCTACTCTGAGCATTAGCTGTGTCTGAGAAACTGGCTTCTTGTATGTGAATTCGAGGGTTTGAAAGAAGCAGTCCTAAACGCCATTTGTTTTGAGATTCTAGTTATCCTCCTCCCACCCCCTGCCCCACTGAACAAATGACCAGGCATGCATCCATCAAAGGAAAGTTCTAGAACGTGGCAGTTCCAAGCTGATGGTGTGTGCCCTTGTCCCTCTCTGTCCATTCAATGAGGTGAGTTTGTTGTAGGGGCTGCAGTCATCCACAAGAGACTTACCATGGTATCCAGCTGGGAATATTTTCTTCCCTTTTCCCTTGTGTATCTGATCTTCATCATCAGCCCTTCTGTTCTGAGCAGCAGCTGTGTGAGCATAACAGAGTTTCCAAAGTTTATTGGTGTAAAAGATAATGCACATTGAACTATAGGCTGAGTCCTTCTGACCTTGTAGGCTTATGGCCACCTGCTATCAACCAAATTCCCAAACTAAGGGACTATCCATGAGTCTAATTCTAACCCCATCTCTCTGGAGTAGCTCTATGGGCAATGGCTTAGCCAAAGTTGGTGGGAGGAAAGCCAGAGGGACCCTTGCCCTTTATCACACCTGACCTGCACAGGTACTGCTTATGTACCTGAGCTACAGGTAAGGGGAACCCTTATGCATTTGACTAAGGACATCAACTGCATAATTAAGAAACCCCTTTGAATGAAAAAAGAACCTCTTATTCTTAAACTATCATTTCACTTCACTGAACATTTATTATATGCAAAGCATATCCCCTGCCATATGTGATGCAGTAAGGGAGGGAAAATATTGGATGAAAATTTGGAAGTTAGAAAGGCTGAGAATGATGACCCCATTTGTCCTAACAGGATAGTGTAAAGACTCCTGGTAGGAAACCAGTAAACCTGAGCTCTGGCCCAACCCTGTGTGACCTTGGGACCAATTAGTTAGACTCTCTAGTCATCTTTGTCTCCAAAAATGTTCCTTTTGTTCTAACATTCTCTGGCCACCATGGCGTGGCTAAGAACTCCAAGAACTCT